TTTTTGGTCTGATCTCATTTCTGATCTTTTCCTGTCACTTAACACTTTCCCTTTTTTGGAGTCATGTAAGATTAGAACAAAATATTAGTATGCTAAGGACCTTACAACTTTTGCTGTAAACTTATGAAGTGCTAGGTAATGATTCTGCCACCAATTCTTTCCTGACTTCTCCCTTGCCAGCTCCCTCTTGCCACTGCCGTTCACCTTGAGACACAGCTCTCATTGCACCCCACAGCAGGATCCAAACACAGCAGGCCTCCTGCCCCTGCTGCAGGGTCCCAGACCCTGACAACCCCAGCTGGCCTGCGCCACATGCCTTTCCTTGCTCCACCACACTGTTGCTACCTGCCTCCACCAGCAAACTGATCCATGCCCAACTGCGCCCACCAGGAGCTGTCTTTTGGAGGCCCCAGCCACAAGCCTCAAGCTACCTACCGCTCCTCTAACCTTGGGTCACATGCTCTCCTGACTCCCCTTTGCTCTCCCAGCTCTTTCCACTCTGCACACTGCCACACACCAAGTCCAGACAAGCTTCTTCCTTGTCTTCCTGTTCCTCTCCCTCTGTCAGACCTCTCTCAGATCAGCCAGTATTAAGGCCACTATTTCTTTTTAGGCTCTTAAAACCACAGTTTCCTCCCACTCAGCAAAAGTTAACTTTAAATCCTTTAATTAAAAAAAACAGATATTGAAAATAGGCACATGGCCAAATGGCTCAGCAGATGAAAGTGCCTGCAAGCAGGCTCAGGGGCCAGGAGCTTGATCCCCGGGCCTGCTGTTCCAGCCCTGCCTCCGGGCGCCCTGAGACAGCAGTTGAGGCTGGGCATGGTGGCGTGTGCCTGTAATCCCAGCTCTTGGGAGGCTGTAAATAGGCAGATCACTACAAGTCTGATCTAGTAGTGAGACCCTGAACACCCTGTAGACCCTTCCCTAAAAAAAAAAAAAAAAAAAAAAAAGAGAGAGAAAATAGGTACCACCCAGTCCCCAGAGGACTGCCTCTCACAGTGATCTCTCTCCAAAGCATCTTGCAGACAGCCACTCTCCTCAGAGATAATCTCTTTCCACACCGAAATCTGGCCCACTTACTCCCCTAGATAGTTAAAATTAGATAGTCTGTCCCCCTAGAGGAAACAATTATGTGTAGCTCTCAACACAGTAGTTTTGGCCATCAGCTGTGGCTATCCAACTGTGGTTATCAAATCTTAAAGATTATCTCATGGGCTGGGGAGATAGCTTGGTGGTCTAGTCACCTACCTGGCAAGCACAAGGACCAGGTTTGATCCCCGATACCGCATTGTTGGGAGACTTGGAAGCTGGAAAATTCGTCAAATGTGTATAGGTGGGACTAGGTCTCTGCGCCTAAAGCAAACAAGCTACCTCAGTCATGAGATAAACATATTGTCTGGTTAAGGTCAGCTCTTAGTTGCTAGGCAACCTTGTGTCATGTGTTACTAACTTTGCAAAGGTACAAATAAACCTCAGTTTTGTTTTGCTCCTGGGTTTGTCTGGCCAATCAGGTAGACCAGCCACCCCCAAGCCAGATTTTGTCTTCTTGTCTATCTTTTTCTCATTCCTGCTGCCCTTTCTCCCTGGGTATGCCATGCCAGCTCTGGAACCTCAGGCACACTGTGCCAGCCCCTGAAACGGTGTGGTGGTGCACACCTGTAATTCCAGCATTGGGGAAGGTAGGACAGGAGGATCACTATGAGTCCAAGCTGCGTAGCAAGACCCTGTACCAAATAAATAAGTAAATAAATAAAGACTGTCTTTGCTGTCATAGATGTAAGTTTTATTCCCCTTGATTCTTAGTACAAGAAATCTGTTAATTGACCTATAAAAGTTCTGACTAGTCTATTTATAGTTATAAATTTAAAAACTATAAGTTTGTATAATTCAATCTGACCAAAGATTTTTGAGTGCACTGATTTTATAAACAAATTTGTCTTATACATTTGTCTGTCAAATCTTGTAAATAGCTGTTTTATTTCAATTATTTTTTTTTCATTTTGGGGTTTTAAAAAATTATCTATAATTTAAATCTGCTTATAGATAAATGTCACCAAAATTAAAAATATGCTTCCACATAAATTGCCATCTGGTCAAAATAATGTTAAAATTGTTTGGTTTTTTTTTAATATAGTACATAATTTTGTCTGTGTACAACACCTCAAAAATCTATCATTTAGTCCGGGCATGGTGGCACATGCCTATAATCTCAGTGCTGGGAAGGCTGAAAACAGGAGGATCACTAAGAGTCTGAGCTGCATAGTGAGATCCTGTACCAAATACATTAAAAAAAAAAAAAACAACTCTGAATAATAAAGAATTAAGTGTTGAGTGTCATGATGTGCTTCTCCTAGGTCATCACATGTTTGTTAAGGTAATTGAAGAGGTACCCTTCTGGTTTGGGGAAACTGTTGGACAGGACTCCCTTTGGTGAATAAAGGAGCAACTTCCTGGAAAAAAAAATCATATTTTGGCCTTTGTTCATTAATGGAGGTTACAATTAACCTCCATAGCCTTATGAGAGATATCCCATTAAATGTTGCTAAAAATATTATTGTGATATGTTTATATTGGTCATCATTGAAAGGTTAAGTTTTCTATCAATAATACAATACAGGTTTCTCATTAAAAAAAAATACTTTTGAGGTCTAGTGGTAGCTCAGTGGCACAAGTTGCCTGCCCAGCAAGTACAAGGTCCTGCATCCAATTCCTGGTACCAAAAATAAAAACAAACTTTTGACAGAAAACTAAATTTAAAAACAGGGGCTGGGGAGATAGCTTGGTGGTCTAAGCACCTGCCTGGGAAGCAGGACCCAGGTTCAGTCACTAGTACCACATGCCATGCTGGCCCCAGAACCCCAGGCACGCCATGCTGACCACCGAAATCAGGCGTCGTGGTACACACCTGTAATCCCAGCACTGGGGAGGCTGAGACAGGAGTATTACTATGAGTCTGAGCTGCATAGTGAGACTTTGTACCAAATAAATGAATAAATAAATAAATAATTTTGAAAATTTAAAAAACAAAAGTTTTGCATGACTATGAAAATTCATTATTGTTAATCTCATGATGTATTAAATACATTCATGCCAGGGCCAAGGAGATGGCTCAGTGGAATAAGTGCTTCCCTGGCAAGCGCAAGGGCCTGAGTTCAATCCCTGGTTCTGAAAAAAAAAAAAAATGTCTAGTATAAATTCTCAGGTGTCTCCAGATGTCTCAGGAGCCGCAAAATAACTTTGCTTGTATTATTTCCTTTCCCGTGCTTGTTACCGCCACTTTGGTACTGAGCTGAGCTCCCTGCTGCGAGTGGAGTTCTTGCAGACAGAACTGCTTCTGCTGGCCGGCAGGTTGGGGACTGAAGGCGCAGGTCCATTTTAACCTTACCCGGCCCCAGGTTCTTTTGTTTAGGGCTGGCGATTCTTCCCATCCCCATGTGGGTGCCTGGAAGTTGTTACAGTCTGATTGGCTCTCTGGCTGTCTTTGACTCTCCTTTGGGTACCTCTGTCCCCATTCTTTCTGGCTGTTTGATTTCTTCCTGCTAGTTGTGATGGATAAGTGCGTCTGGGGGTCGCCTTATAGAAGGTAGCTTAGAGCTAATGATTAGTAAAGGGAACATATTTAGGGTAGCACCCCAGTGACACTAGAGTGAGGATGTACATCTTTGTGTAGACCTATAGGTGTCTGTGCATCTTTTATATATTAAACAAGAGTCCTATTTTGCATTTCATCAGAGATGAGTGTGTGGGGTGGTTATTCTGGTCTTATATTTCTGGCTTTCTCTGTGCTTTGTTAACTCTTTCTGATAAATTCTTATCTGCACTTTTTTTTTTTTTAACCTGCACTTTACTGAGCCTGGTTTCTTTCGCCTACCTTTGTCTTTCTAATTGTTCTGACTGTAGAGTATAGAACTGCCTTTAATAAGACTCCTTATTAATTTCTTTTTCTTTTTTCTTTTTTGGTACTGGGAATGGAACTCCGGGACTGGCACTTGCTGTGCCGGCACATGTGCCGCTGAGCTGTATCCACAGCCCTATGAACTTTTACTAAAGCTTAAATGAAGCTTTTATTCTACCCTTTACCATCAAGGAGTTTCCCTTCCCTACAATGGAGTGGGTTGTTTTTCTTTTCTTTCTTTCTTTTTTTTTTTTTTTTTGTACCAGGAATCAAACTCAGGACCGCATCAAAGTCAGGCAGCCACTTATGTTACTGAGCTATCTCCCCAGCATGTAGTGGGTTGTTTTTAATGTTTAAAATTTTCCAAATTAAATAGGTTTTGGTGCTGCAGACCTCTTGTTAGAAGCAGAACTGAGCCCTGAATGTGCTGTGATTGGAGCAGAATCCCAGGGACCCTGAATCACACTGAGGACATAGCAGACGATTTTGTGAAGAGCTCATAGGATATAGGACAGGATAAATTCCCTCCAGCAGCTAGAGCATTTGTAACTGAGAATAAACACTGCTGCCAGTTCTTCCTCTGCTTCAAAGCACCCCCTGCCCCCTGAGGCCCAGGCCACCTGAACAGTTTTCTCCCCTGGAGCAGGATGCAAGCAATACCTCTGGGCTTCTACTGCCTTGTTTCATCCTTTTATATAAATGTGATTTCCCAGAAGTTGGTATGAAACAGTAATTCAGCCCTGACCTTCATCTGAACTGTAATTTCAAATAAAGTCAGTTTCTAAATTGAATCATGTAAGCCATGAGTACAATGTCATGTTACAACGGAAGTCCTCAGGCTCCAAACATGACCCATGCACTGTGTCCCTTCCACTGTGTTGCTGGTGCAGCTGGGGTTACTCCAGAAAGGCCAGGCCAGCCAAACTGCTAGCTAGGTCTCCAGATTCCACCCTCAGGCAGCAGCAGGCTTGATGGGAGTGGCCCTGCTTGGCTTTAAGCCCTACTCCCAACATGGAGCTCAGTGAATGCTGCTCGCTCTTCATTGCACAACAATTCACCAATTATAAATCAGGAAACAGAAGCACACTGCTGTGGGTGTGGTAACCACCAAGTAGCAGCCCTTCCAGACCCAAGCTCCTCTCCTCTCATCACAAACCACACTGCTTCAGCCTTCTAGGCTCCCAGGAGGTACACCTGCCAAGCTAGACGATGCCCAAGGAGGAGTGCGAAGTGGTTGTGCTGGGGGAAACCCGCAGCCCAGCTCCCGAGACCAGGACTGTGATCAACATCTCCAGTGACACCCTTGTGCCTGACCATGTGGTCTGGTCCCTCTTCAACACGATCTTCATGAACGCCTGCTGCCTGGGCTTCATAGCCTTCGCCTACTCCATAAAGGTGAGTGTCCTGGGTGTGATATCCTTGGAGGGATCTGTGAGCCCCAGATTCACTTGCCTGAACAGAGCCTGTGTGTGTGTGTGTGTGTGTGTGTGTGTGTGTGTAAGACCTTTGTGGGTACTGGGATGTGTGTGCTGTACAGGTTGCCCTGTGAGATATGTATGTGTGTGTGTGCTGAGGAATCTCCCAGGGCAGGCATGGGTAGGCTGCTTGGGCCTCCTGGGGTCACACTTGGTCCCCATCCACCCAGAGGAATTCTCCCCACTGCCCACACCAGATATACCCTGTCCACGCTGCATACGGTGACCCCATACTGCCTGGCTCACAGGGGACTTTGTTCCTGGGTTGAGTGGCCACCCCTGGGGCCACCTACACAGTCTGAGTGTGAGAGGGGAGTCCCCAGTCTAAGTAAGAGCAGGGGGACACTGCCTGGGCAGAGCAACCCTGGGCTCTTCAAGTCAGAGCCCTGTTTCTGCCCTGACCCAGTCAGGCAGGGCCCTCACTCTCTGGTCTCCCCCAGTCTAGGGACAGGAAGATGGTGGGTGATGTGATCGGGGCCCAGAGCTACGCCTCCACCTCCAAGTGCCTGAACATCAGCGCCCTGGCTTTAAGTATCATCCTGACTATTGTCTTCATCGTGTTATATGCTGCAACCATCACAGCAATCATCCAAAACTTCTCTCAGATAAGAAAGGATTCTCAGGGCTAGTAGTCCTGCTGTGTTCTTCCCTCCACAGATACCCTGATCCTGGGCTGGGCCCTTCTCTGCACCCCCCACCCTTGATCAACTGTCCAAAATTGGGATCAATAAAGCATGCATATTTCTGTTCTTCTGTGATGTTTCCTGGGGGACATTGCTCACTGTCCCTGTCTTGGTCCTGAGATAAGCCCACTCTCCATGCAATGTCTTCCCAGAGAGCAAGGCGGGTGCTCAGGTTGGAGGTCTGTGGGTGCCTTCTGTGGGGGACAGCACATCCGGGTCCCAGTGGGTCTCCTCTTAACCTTTCCTGATTCCAGGGCACACTCTGAGCAGGACTGCTGACCCTAGGCCAACCCTGTCCACTCTATCAGGAATAGTGCAGCTCTGGCCTTGAGGATCCTGGATCCCTAGTGACAGGAAAACTGTCAGGAAAAGGCACCTTCAAACCCACACAAGACCACATTCGAGTGAGTGTGCATGAAAGGAGCAGTTTATTGGCAGCAACTAGTGCAAGCCAGGCTGCTCATTGGGCCTGAAGAGCAGTGATGGCTGGGGAGGAAGAGACTTTATAGAGCAGGTTAAAATGGAGGAAAGGCGTCATACAGAAGTTGGCTTTTTGCCCTTTTTTGGTAAAGGAGATGTTCATTCTGACCTCAGGCCAGGTGCAGGATGTAAAGGGGGCCACCCAGGATATCGGGTGGGGGAACAATTTGGGGAAGTTATCTTTGGCAGTGGTAAGGGGGTTTGCCTTAGCACAGCTGTGGTCGGCATGGAACAGGAAAGGGGTTCCGGGGGAAAGGGGCCCGTGGCTGGGTGCCATAACACCTAGGCCTCCTGGAGCAAGGCCAGTCCAGGCAGCTCAGGCTCCATTCTAGCTGCTGCCTTCTTGTGTATCTTTAACACTTAACTCTCTCCTTAGGTGTGGCGGGCGTGGCCATCATTTTCTGAGGGAGCTCAGAGGTCAGAAGTCAGGCTTGGTTGGTGATCTCTTGGCCTTGGCACAGATGTGGAGTGAACCCTTGAACCCCAGCAGTGTTAGCCTTCTTGGAAGGAGCTGTTTTGTGAAGGTTGAAGAATGTCATTGCCCTTGGCTGAGCAGGGCTGGGTCAAGTAGAGGCTCTACAAACCTGGAAACCTGTGGAGGCTGACAAATCCCTCTTGCCTGGCACCTCAAGTCAGGAGCTCCACCAGGAGTCCCCTGCTCTGCCGTAGACCCACTGCAAAACTCACCAAGCTCCCTACCACTTTGGGCCCTGGGAGTCCTAATTTTGGGGGTCTGTGGACAGTGTGAGGTCCCTAAATGGACAATGAATGTGCAGGAAGGCAAGTTGTTTCTGGTATCCCTGGAAGATTAGGAAGGAGGTGGCTTAGAGGAGCCTATGGGAAGAAGCTAAAGAGAGGTCACACACTGCAGACAGGAATCCAGTACAAGCAGACCCCCTACATAGGTCACCCACCATCAGCCTGGACCTCCAAAAGCACTGCAGGATTGTAGCACCATGGCCCCAACTGAGCAGAGACGCTCCTGGAGCCAGGAAACAGCCTATGGCCTCACACAACTGAAATTCTGCAGCCTAGGGGAACCAAAGGAGGAGATTCTGGCAGGTATTGAGGTAGCTTGGGTTCTGACTACTGAGTCCCTTTTCTGGGTACGGTAAGGCTTGATTTGGACATAACCATCCCAGTACTCAATCTGTCTGCCAGCAGCAGCGTTGTTCTCAGCTCAGCACCAGTGCCCTCAGGAAATAACAGATGTTGTAAAGGAGATAAGGTGGAGCCCACAATCTTGCAAGCACTGAGACATCTGAAGCCACCCAAACACTTACACTAGATATCTTAAGGGCTTTTCCCACTGAGGCAGAAGACATCCAGAGAACTTGATTCCTGATGTTTACTAAGATCTTTCACCTAATATAATCCATTGCCTATAAAAAAATTAACCCCACTTCTCTTTGTTCCCTATACACAGCCTTTTTGTCTTCTGTGCCTATCACACCGTGTTGCCTTTACATAAGCCTGGTGGTTTCAGTTGGTTTCCTTACGTCTGCTGCCAACACTGAGTGGGACACAAGCTCTCTGGAGAGCTTTAAGCTCCCTTGAAACTCCACCCCAGCAGAGACCACCCAGAAGCAGCCTCAGACCTTGGTCCCTACAGTTCTTGCCACTTTTGTCATCCCAGATCTTGCTGGGCATTTCAGATTGAGCAAGTCCTCCAGTCTCAATCTTTGTCTCTGTCTCTGTCTCTGTCTCTCTCTGTGTCTCTGTCTCTGTCTGTCTGTCCCTGTCTATCTCTGTCTCTGTCTCTCTGTCTCTGTCGCTCTGTCTCTCTCTGTCTCTGTCTCTGTCTCTGTCTGTCTGTCCCTGTCTATCTCTGTCTCTGTCTCTCTGTCTCTGTCGCTCTGTCTCTCTCTGTCTCTGTCTCTGTCTCTCTCTCTCTCTGTGTCTCTGTCTCTGTCTCTCTGTCCCTGTCTATCTCTGTCTCTGTCTCTCTGTCTCTCTCTGTCTGTCTCTCTGTCTCTCTCTGTCTCTCTCTCTATCTCTCTCTGTCTCTCTCTCTCTCTCTTTCTCTCTGTCTCTGTCTCTCTCTCCATTTCTGCTCCTCCCTGATTGCCTTTTAGTCTCCCCAATAAAGTCAGAGAGACTCGCTACTTTTTGTGCTTTTTAAATTCTGACACTGATCTCAGAAAGCACTCCAGGGAAAGCTGCTTCCCTTCAGTCTGACCGACGCAAAGACATTTGCCTTGCTTAGTTGCTCATGTGTATGGCTTTGCATCCCAAGTGGAGATGTGCAGTCAGAGGTCTGGCCACACTCCCATACCTCTCTCTGTACTCCAATGGGAGCTCATCCATTTCCCACCCTCTCATCCCCCTAGCCTGCCTCCTGCAGAATCTCAGACCTCTTCACCTCTGTCCTGATCTGAAGCCCACATAGCTGGTGTTTTTCCATAACATCGCATGGCCAAGATTCTTGTGAGACATCTCTCAGTGATCAGGGCATGATATTTTTTATTTTTTTCCATTTTGCAAAATAACAAATAATTAACTGGAGATAAGAGTTTGCTTTCATTTCATGATTGCTAAATTATATTAGGTAATCATACTTGCCGTTCTTGTTTGCCAGTGGCTTTTGTAGATCACTCTATGTTCTTTTTTTTTTAAATTTTTTATGTGTGTGTGTGTGTGTGTGTGTGTGTGGCCAGCTCAGCCCACCAGGGGGCGGGTTTGGCTGGCATGTGGTGCTGGGGGATTGAACTGCAGTCCCTGTGTTTGCTAAGCTTGTTCTAAGTAGGTGCTTTAGACCACTGAGCCATCTCACCAGCCCAAAGGAATTGTTATTTTTTTTTGTTGGCGGAACCAGGGATTGAACTCAGGCCCTTGCGCTTGCCAGGGAAGTGCTAATTCCACTGAGCCATCTCCCAGGCCCTCTATGTTCTTTTGTTAACACAATTATGATGTTTTTTTCTTTCTTTCTTTTTTGGTTATGATATTTCTTTAATGGGATGTTTTACTTTTGTGGACAAGGTTTTATATTCCTGTCTTATTTATGCTGCATTTAGATGTTTAAACTGACTTGTGCACTTGCCTGGCAAGTGCAGGGTCCTGAGTTCAATCCCTGGTACTGGAAAAAAAACAAAACAAAAAACTGACTTGTGACTACTTCTGGGTTTTCGTCTTATTTTAGATAGTGCTAGGGAGAAATAATGTTAAAGTGCTATCCACTGGAGTTTAATAAAATTCTGTAAAATGGGTCTTTTAAAATAAAACCTTGCCTATATTCAGTACACACTTTTGTTTATGTATTTAGTGCAGGTTCTACAGGGTGTCACTATGTAAATTGGGCTCATAGTGACTCTCCTGTTTACAGCCTCCCAAGTGCTGGGATTACAGGTGCCCACCACCACGCCCAGTCTCAATGGTCATCTCAGCATGCCCTGGGGGGCGGGACCAGCATGGCAGGTCTGGGGATTGAGCCCCCAGCCCCTGCGTCTGCCTCAGTAGTCAATGCACACTTTTATCTGCCCTTGATAAAATGCTAAAACCGGACTGGTTAATCTGACAGCTACTAGTTGGCTTTAGGACAGCTGTCACTCTCAAAGCAGGGTGGGTTTCTCCAGCTCCCCTGGTGAATCCCCACTGACACCAATGGCCAATGGAATGTTGACCAAATGGACACTGGACTGCTTTCCAGAGACAGATCTGGGCCCTCAGTGGAAGCAAACTCTCAACAGCTGACGGGGTGAGCAGCAGAGAACCGCCACATATCTATCATTTCCACCTGTGCTCCCCACAGAAGGCGGAGGTAACTCTTGGAGTGATCATCAGGTGCCCTCCACCTCAGAGTGTCTGACATGGCTTGTTAGAAATGTTTCTTAAGCTCCCATCAAGAGTGGAGCTACAAGTCTGGACTTTTCTCTATATACTATAAATTTGAGTATTTTCCTCCTCCTTTCTCTTTTGTTTACTCCCCACTTCCCTCCCATGCTGATTTCTCCCTGACATTACCCTTACTTTATTCCCTCTTACCACCATCATTTACTTTGAGACACCTCCCCGCTGTGGGCTGCCGACCGCCAGCTGACCTGCTCATGTGTGCCTGTGCTGGGCTGCGGGTCTCAGGCTACATGACCCTAGTGTCAAGTGACTGTAGTTGGCATGTCCAGCCTGCCATACTCAGAACCTGTTCACCACACTTACAGCCTTGGTCACAGAGTATAGCGGGCACATACACCGCAATAGAAGTCAAGGTCCTACTGGCACTCATGTACACAGTAAGACCACATTTCCTGTGCATATAGCCCTCTCTCTGACACCTAGAAGCCACCCATTGCACCTGTGGGTCCAGCCCACCATAAGGGCATCTGCTTGAGCCCACCCTGAACTTAAAAAAAAATGAGCCCACACAGCACACCCCCTTGCTTCATTCTGCTCCACCAATCCATACACACAGGCCACAGTCCTGGATCTGCCTGCCACAGCATCTCAGCCACAATACACATACCTTGCCACCTCCTTGCAGGTCTGTGCTACACTGTGCCACCCCTGCCCACCTGCCCTGCTACTACCACATTGTGGCTTCCTGGCTGCATAGGTGAGCTGGTCCATACTCACTAAGCCCACCTAGGACCACCTTATGAAGGCTCACTGCCACTCGTGACACATAGGCCCAGGCTATTGTGGGCATAGACCACCATGCCCACTCCTCCTCTAACCTGTCATATGTTCTCCTAACACCCCCTGCCATACACCTGGTCCAGACTATTTACTCCTTTGTCCTCCTATTCTTCCTTCCTTGTCAGACTTCTCCCAGGTCAGTGTTTGCTTTTCAGACTCTTAAAACTTCAGTTTTCCTTCAACTTACCAAAAGTTAACTTTTAACCCCCAATTAATGACTAATCTTCCCTACAGGAGGTTAAATTAACAAAGCTTACAACAACTATTTGCCTTTAATAGGAGACAGCAGCTATCAAAAAGCAATTTACACTTATGTTTTTACATCTGCTAAATAAGACTGATACAACTAATCTTTTCCTAGGTGTTCAACAACTAAAGTTTAGAGACCAGAACTAGAGAGATAACTGAGATAAGACAACAGCCAATATTTTGACCCTGGCCCTCCAAAATCAGTAGATCCAAGACATGAAAAAGCTGGTGAGTCACCCAATCTCCTAAGCAGGGAAATTGGTCATAGAAGACAGAGATCAACAAAGATGTGCAGTGTGCCTAAGAAGGGTCATCAAGAATAAAGGTCTGTCAAGCAAGACCATGACCTATTCTGGCAGCTGACACTGACAGAGGAGCTGAGAAGTTCTGTACATATTTCCAAGAATAAAGCTTCAAGAAACTTACTTGACCTTGATAGACAGTGAGACATCAATTTTATTTTTTCTGTATTAGTAAATTCATTCCAAGTTAAGAGTGGAGTGCATCAAGCATGTTACCACCTACACACAAAAAAATCAACATTTAGTAAAAATACTTAACACTTTAGCCATGAAACTCAGAAATACTTGATTACCCTCTCAAGATACTTTGTTATGAAATTTGTAATTTATACTTGTCCAATTACTATTTAAAATGTAGGGGCCGGGGAGATGGCTCAGTGGAATAAGCACTTCACTGGCAAGCACAAGGGCCTGAGTTCAATTCCTGGTTCCGCAAAAAAAAAAAAAAAAAAGTAATTATATTGTTCATTAAAAAAAAAAAAAATATATATATATATATATAACTTCTTTGCTGAAATTGTTCAAAATAGCTTTACAGTAACTTCAATATATCCATATGTAGCTCCTAACAATGCTATAATAGAATCAAAATTTTTCAAGTAGTTTCAATTCACACCATTCCATATCATACACATATTTTTATAAACAGTTCCTATTACTTGGCTCTTTAAATATGCCTGCCATCAAATATCCCAGTTTTCTTGAATACAGACTCATCCATATCTTTGGGTAATAATTCTTCCTTGCAATCTCCAAAAAACTCTCATCATACCTACTTCAGGTAAAGAGGTGAAGTAGATGAAAGTCTGGGCAATCTCTCATGGCGTTTTGAAGAAAACCCAGACACCAGATTGGAAAGTGGTTTGGCCAGTAGTGGAATGCGTATGTGCCTGCTGAGATCAGGCAGTACAATACCAGGCTGCAACACACTGACACTAACATTGGTGTTTTCTAGGCATTAAGCTAGTTCTCTGGCAAAAAGAATTTTCACATTTATCTTTTATAATGGCACAAGTACTTTTACCTCTCTTGTTCTTATCGTCCTTTTTATTTATAGTAACAAAAAGATGGAAATGTAAAGCTCAATTAGGACATGACTCTCTCAGTGCCCAACCTGTCTGCCAGCAGAGGCATTGTTCTCAGCTCAGCACCAGTTCCTTCAGTAAATACCGGATATCGTAAAGGAGATAAAGTGGAACATGGAATCTTCCAAATACCAGGACATCTGAAGATGCCCAAACACTTAGACCACATGCTTCCAGAAGCCTTCTTTCCCACTGAGGCACAAGATATCCAGAGAACTTTGACCACTGATGTTTACTAAAATTTTCCTGCCTAATGTCCCTTAGCTTCTTCCAAGTCCTATTTAAAAAAGACAGCTTCCTTGTCTGCTACAGACAGAATTTTAGCCATATGTCTGCCTGTACTCAGGCACAATGAATCCTACACCATGTTGCTTCTACACAACCCTGGTGGTCTCAGCTGGTATCCATCTTGTGCTGTGCAGGTACAGTGGGAACATGACTGGGAAATAGCCATGGGACACACTGGGAGCTGAAACTCTAGGTCATTGTGTGTGGGATGCTCAGGACTACACTCTCCTAACTAGGCAGCTAGGAGACCCATCTTTCCAACTGAGGAGACTATGGAAAGTCCCCTAACCAGGGAGGCACAGATGACCAGGCAGGATTGCTCCTCTTGCCAGGTAAAGGAGGACAGGGTCATGGGATCACTGTAGGGCTTCAGAGCTTAGACCATGTCTGCTGTGACAGCTGATGGTAACTGGTAGCTTGGTTGGCTTGAGAGGCATCTTGGAGATAGTACAGCACATTTCTGAATGTCCCAGGTGGCCATGGGGCATGACCTGGGGAACTCCACATCACCCTTGGCCCTGGTTCTCTGGAGCTTTCACCCTGCTCTCTGCTTCCCAGGTGCCATAGCTTAGCATCTTTCCTCCACTCAGAGTCCAGCTTCCTGGACTCAAAACTCAAAGTGCCAGCAAAACAAGCCCTTGCTGTTTTAAGTTATGCATGTCAGGTATTTTGTCACAGCAATGCAAAACTGACCCAAAATCAGCTCTGATTCTGCCAAGTCAGAGGTAGAGGTAAGGCCTGGGGTCCCAACAAGAGGAGGAGAACCTTCCATGCTGAACCAGAGGCCCCAGTTCTGTACTTGCAAGAGAACCACCCTTCCTGGAAGCTGGCTCTCACCCCACTCAAAGGCCCTGGAGTCCCACCTGAGCCCCTACTGCATTAAGGACCAACCCTACGTAGGGAACCTCAGATACACTGAACTTTGCAACTGGCTTAGGAAGCAAAGAACAGCAGGATATGGCCAGGAGTCCCAGAGATGCAGGGAGGGGGCTGGGGCCCACTCCGAGGGTGAGGCCTAGGGCGGCTCCAGAACCTGAGATTCAGGAGACAATCTGTGGGAAAGGGGAACAGGTGCCACCTGTTGCAGAGCACCTGGAGACCACACAGGGCAGGGTTCCCAGAGGGGAGCTGGACACGTGGGAGCTGTGACCACAAGCCAAGAGCAGGGCTCAGTCTCAGGGATGTGGACGGGAGTGTCAGAGGTTTGCCAAATCCTCTCCTCCTGGCCAGCAGCATGACCTCCTTCTTCCCCACACCCAGCTGTGCCAAACCCACCTGGGGAGAGAGCAGCAAGGGCATCCTTCCTGTCAGGATACCTCTCAGGGAGGCCAGGTGGTTGGAGTCCAAGGCCTGCCCATGGGTGACCCCAGTCAGCAACAGGTGTCCTATGCATCCTAGAGCTCCTGGAGTGGTTTCTTTTCTTTCTTTTTTCTTCTTTCTTTTCTCTTTCTTTCTTTCTTTCTTTCTTTCTTTCTTTCTTTCTTTCTTTCTTCTTTCTTTCTTTCTTTCTTTCTTTTTTTTGTATTTTGGGGAAGGGTCTACAGGGTGTTTAGGGTCTCACTACTAGATAGGACTTGTAGTGATGCTCCTGTTTACAGCCTCCCAAGTGCTGGGATTACAGGAGTGCACCACCACACCCAGTCTCAATCACTGTCTCATTGCACCCCAGGGGCAGGGCCGGCACAGAAGGCTCGGGATTGAACCCCTTACCCCAGTACCTGCTTGCAGGTGATTTAATCTGGTAAGCTATTTGGCTGGCACTCTAGAGCTCCTGGAATCAAAGCTCTGCTGCAGGAGAGCATGGGAGCCATTGCTGGGGTCTGAGATGGCTGTGGAGGTAGAAGCACAGACACCCCAGCCCCACTCAGGAGACCCTTAGACCAGGATCCCAAAAGGCTCACATGGAGCCAGGATAAAAGCTAGCCTGGATCCTGAGTTCAATCCCTGTTACCGAAAAAAAAAAAAAAAAAAGCTAGGATCACAGCACTGCTGAGTACTGCTGGGTTGGAGGGCTGTGCTCCCGTGAGGGCATGAGGGGATGGGCCTCAGCTACTTCCTGCTGGAAAACTAAGCACCCAAGCATGATCCAGCAGGTCCCAGGTGTGCTGCTCCCCATGGCACCCAGAGACCTCTAACCTAAGGACCTACCTTGCTTGCTGCAGACACTTCACGGAGGGTGGGCTCATCTCAGGATGAAGATAGGGGTTAATGAACAATGTCCCTTCCCCAGGAAATGACACAACACAGGAACATGCACACTTTATTGATCCCAGTTGTGGACAGCTGGTCAGGGTGTGGGTTGCAGGACAGGACCCAGCCCAAGGCGAAGGAAGCTGTGCAGGGAAGGATATGCAGAACTAGTGGCCCTGAAGGTCAGATATCGCCTTGAACAACTGCACGGAGGTGAAGGCAAACACAACGATGAGGCCAATGGTCAGAGCAATGCTTAAGACCAGGGCACTGATGTTCAGGCACTTGGCAGTGGAGGCGTAGCTCTGAGCCCCGATCACATCGCCCACCATCTTCCTGTCCCTAGACTGGGGGAGACCAGAGAGTGAGGGTCCTGCCTGACTGGGTCAGGGTAGAGAGAGAGCTCTGACTTGGGGAGCCCAGGCTCATCCTGTCCAGCCAGGTCCCCTGCCCTCACTCAGGTTGGAAACACCCCTCTCACACTCAGACTGTGTACGTGGCCCCAGGGCTGGCCACTCACCCCAGGAGCAAAGTCCCCTGTGAGTCGAGTCTCTTTGTAACTCCCAGACAGTGTGCGGGCCACCGTCTGCAGTGTAGACAGGGTATTTCTGGTGTGGGCAGTAGGGAGAATTCCTCTGGGTGGATGCGGGACCAAGTGTGAGCCCAGGCTGCCCTGGCAGCCTACCCGTGCCTGCCCTGGGAGATTCCTCAGCACACGCACACACACACACACACACACACACACACACACACACATGCGCATGCACGTACACACACACGCATGTGCACACAGGATGACCTGCACGCCTCACATATCCCACTGCCCACAGAGGTCTTACACACACACACACACACACGCACACACACACACACACACACACACACACACACACA